GTGTGTGTGTGTGTGTGTGTGTGTGTGTGTGTGTGTGTGTGTGTGTGTGACTGCAATTGCCTATATACATACCAATCTATAGCCCCCATTAGGGTTTGTATCTTGTTGGTTGTTGAATCCCTAGTACCTAACACCTAGCACAGTGTCTGACAAATAGTAGGGATTCAGTAAACATCTTTTGAATGAATTAAATGTTTAAGGGGAGACACCTAGTGAAATTCTTTTTTGTGTGATGATCTTTCATTTTTTTTTTTTAAGATTTCATTTATTTGACAGAGAGAGACACAGCGAGAGAGGGAAAACAAACAGGGGGAGTAGGAGAGGGAGAAGCAGGCTTCCTGCTGTGCAGGGAGCCCGATGTGGGGCTCTATCCTAGGACCCTGGGATCATGACCTGAGCCAAAGGCAGACGCTTAACGACTGAGCCACCCAGGCACCCAATGATCTTTCATTCTTAAGTTCTCTACTAAAGCATTTTTCATTTCTGAGCTCTTGAAACTCCAAGAATATGTATCCACAGGCACCAGTTTGAGGAAACCCAACTGCAGACAGTTGGGATCATATGCCTTTACTTGATTATAAGGTGGCTGTCCACAGAGGGGCAGTAAAGTGTAATGGTTTAAAATTCAGGTAATCCCACTGCCTGGTTTTGTTGTTGTTTTTAAAATACCATAAAAATGACACAATTTTTTAAAATTTTGTAGAGAATTTGTGGACTCACCGAAGGATTTGAGAAATTGGGAAAGCTATTCGACATAATTACTAAATTAGTTACTACTTGATATAAAAGCTCTGGCTCCCCATACTCTTATCTAAAATAGGAAAGTTAGCATTTTGCAACACAGTTTTTTTTTTTAATGTAGTCGTTTTTATAAGTCTTTTATGGCTTCTGAGTTTTGTGTCATATTTAAAAAGATTTTTCTTATTCTGGGATAATGAAAAATTGTTGTCTTCTAGCACTTTTATTATTACATTCAGATTTAATCTCTTGATCCATCTGGAATTTATCTTGGTATAAGGTGTGAAGTATGGTTCCAATTTTATTTTTCTTCCAGATGGCTACCTAGTTGTTCCAACACCATTTACTGAATTCATCATTTCCCCACTGATTTGAAATACCACCGTCATCATATTCAGAATTTTTATATGATATGAAAGGCTAGTCCTTTTTTTTTGGTCCTGATTTGAGTGGAAAAGTCTTCAAGTATACTTCTTAACTGCCCCCAGTTTTTGGTTTAAAAAAATTTTTTTAAGTTGCACATAACCATCAATATCATATCCAAACACAATTTTTATCCTCATTTTATGAATTTGTCGTTACCAAGCTCATTTTCTGTTTCTTTAAGTGTAGTGCACACAACCTTCAAATATTATGAACATTTCTCTCTCCCAGCTGTCACTACACCAAACTACATATGTTATATTTCCCTAAATCGTCTTGCTGTGCTCTTAGCAGCTCTTCCATACACTTCATGTCCTCACCTAACAAGTTGCTCAGAAGTTACTACATGGGGCGCCTGAGTGGCTCAGTCGTTAAGCATCTGCCTTCGGCTCAGGTCAAGATTCCAGGATCCTGGGATCAGCGGGGAGCCTGCTTCTCCCTCTCCCACTCCCTCTGCTTGTGTTCCCTCTCTCACTGTGTCTCTCTCTCTGTCGGATAAATAAAATCTTTGGGAGAAAAAAAAAAAAAGAAGTTACTACAGTTATTTTAGGTGAGGTCTCAACGGGAAGGCCTATCATCTCTATGCAGTTCATCCCCAGACTGGGCACTGATTTCCATTTAAACTTAAAGGAGAGGCTATGCTTCTGGAAAATAAGATTTTGAAGGAGCTACAGCAGATATTTGTTGGCTTTTTAAACAATCCACTCTGGGGGGAAACTGTCCTACAAAATGCCAACTGCTATTGTGGGATTTTTTTTTTTTTTTTTTTTTTTTTTTGCTATTTATTCCAGCAAAATGATTCACACACTGAAGAAAAAGGGTCGTCCTGTACTAGGTCTTGAACTCAAAGAACTGTTTGCACAGATACTCATCATAGCCTCCACCTCAACAGATGCTCTTTCAAATGTTTCACGACTCTCATCAACAGTCAGTCTCCATTTAAGGCGAGCAAGATGACGCTGCCAGAGACGGCTGTGCTGGCAAGAAGGCGGGCCCCAAATTTCTATTTAAAAGCTGGACCAAAATATGTTTGGCTTCTGTTGTCTATTTAAAATTTCAAGTTAAGACGCAGAAAAATTACTCTCCATCCTGAATGGGCCCTGGGTGCCTCACACAGACTAGAGAGCCGCGGATGGTATGAGAGGCACAGAGAAGGGAGAGAAACTAGGAACGCTGAGGTGTTACTGAAGATCCATATTCGACCTCCTGACCCGAGGGTCCCGAACAAGATAAGCATTTTGCGCAGCACCTGCCGCCACGTCAGCCACCTCCACTGAGCACCCCTCCCCGCCTTGGTTTTCCACCTCGTGACCCTTTCCCGGCGGCCTCTCTCCCTTTCGGAACAACCCCCACCTTAGGGCCTTCTTTCTCACAGCAGCCTGTCTTCCCCTCAGCACCCACCTCAGTGCCCCCTGATTTCCACGCGTCTCCTCCGTGCCCCCACCTTGGAGTCTTCTCCCCGACTTCAGCATCTCCCTCAGCTCAAGGGAGGCCCCCAGCCTCCCCTTGTATCACAGCCCCTCTCCTCAGGACACTTCCTCCGCCTCAGAGTCCCTCCCTCACCCCAGCGAGCCATCGCGCGAGGTTCGTGGAGACTCTGCTCCTAGCTCCTCCTCCCCCATGCCTACCCACCCGGACCCCGCCCACATGGGCCCCGCCCCGCCCAATGTGGGCCCGCCCTCTCGTTCTCCGCCGGGTCTCAGTCTCAGCCCCACCCTGTCCTGCACCCACCTGTGGACACGCCCCCTCACTCTCCGCCCCGCCCCCTGTGGACACGCCCCCTCGGCCATTGCCCGGCCCAGTCCACGCAGGACAGGCGCCCAAGCTCTCGTCCGTTGGCGCCAAACCTCCTGGTCAGTGATGCGAGGGCTGCCCGTCTCAGCGTTCTGGTTCGGAGTCAGAATCCCTGAGGACGGGAAACCCCGGGCGGGGGGCGGAAGGGAGTCACCTTGAAAACCTCGGGGGGACTGTGGGTGCGAGCGGGGTTTGTGGCAAAAAGGGCAAGCGTGTGAAGAATGTGAGGGGAAAAAAAAAAAGAATGTGAGGGGAAACCCAAGGGTTCTTTTCTTTGGTGGTGCTTGGTGGTCGTCGCTGGGCCCTGGGCTAGTGACTTTATGCGTTCTGTCCCCACCCCCGGGAGGAAATCTCAGTGATCCCGAGGGATTTCCAGCAGCGTTGTTTTAAAGCAAGGCGGACCTAAGTCTTCATGCGGCCTCCTCGGCCTCGTTAGGAGGGAACTGGGTGTCCGAAAATGCCCATGGCGGCGCGTGGGACGTGGACCAGGCTCCCCCGCGACGACCCCTGAAAGCGAGGTGTCAGGGAGCCTACTTTAGGATCCAGCTCTTCCATCCGTCCATGGCTATCTTTCTTTTTATCAAGGCGAGAAGAAATGAACGATTTTTTTCTTCAATGAGAACAGTCAATGCAGAATTTGGGGTAGTCCTATATATGATTACCTGTCTGGGGTACAATATTCCCGAAGATCCCATTCACATTGTCTCCTCTTTGCCTCAGATATTTTGCTGTTTAGCGGAATTAGGTGATAGCAATCATACCTCTACGTTAGTTCCCTTCTGCCAGGCCCCAACCACGACTTTGGTAGGAAGCAAGAAAATTCAATAAACCAAGAAAACTGATAACTTGGACCACATTTTATTCTACAGTCATGCCTCGTAGATTCCGGAGATCTTAAAACAACTACTAGAGTGTTAAAGGCTCCATTTATCTGCTTATTGGCCCTCATGTTACCATAATATTGGGTATCTACCATAACTTTTAAATCTTAAAAAAAATTAGAGACTAGTAAATATTATAAAACAAAATAGATCTAATGTTTTATGAAACAAAGATATGTTGCAAGAGAGCCCATTCATAATTAGGAAGCAGGAAGGCATTCATCATATATGAGAAAAATGAAATCTATTGATTGAGGGTAGACTAAGTTCTAGGAGCCAGGGAAGATGCAGGAAGAATGACATGACGTCAAAATTCGTGAGGTGTTGTTAACATAAACCTGAAAGGTTAAACTGCAACACGCAATGCTAAATAGCATTCCAAGAAAACAGAAAGGATATTAGCCAGACAGTCATGATATCTGTGCTATAGGAAATCAAAAGATGAGAAAAGGTAACCAATTTTCAGGAAAAGGAGTGGAAACAAAGTCCCCCACCCTCACGTACATACACCCATGAAAGAAATAATGTCACGTGCCCAGCAAAAAGAAGATAGGCCGGCTCAGTCATTCTAAACTAAATGTTTCTCTAATTGCTCAAGGAAGTCTCTGGGCAAAGGGTTTTGTACTATATGATCTATACTTCTTAAATAATATTTCTTATTTTCCCAGAAGTGATTATTTTTCTGCTGCTCACCTTTCAAGATGAAGGAGGATCAAGTTGTGCTGGAAGAACCAGGATTCCAAGATGAAGAGGTATGGCTAGAATGTTGAAATATGGGTAGACGTTCAGTCATTCCACAAAAATGAAGTTCCTTCTCTGTTTGCTATTATTTTTAGAAACTGAGAATGGAAAGAAAGCATAGTTTTAGAGAGAGGCAATATTACAAATATGTAACAACTTGTTTGGCAAGGGGTGCTAAGATTAGCTACTTAGCAACTAGCATGAAAGTATTTTAATAACCTAACAACTGGTGCAGCCATAATGGTATCAATGCATGCTGGTACCGAATAGCAGAGGAAAGAGTTCAAAGTCTGGTGGGGCAGAAAGTTGAGAAAACATATTTTTTTAAAAGATTAAATGTTGTTCCACTCCTTTGGGTTAAGGTCTTAAAAATCTGGACAGGACATGACAAAAATGTTGGGCTTCCCAGCCCTTTCAGTGTTGGTGCGTCTTCTAAGTATGTAACAATGTTTTTGAAAAAACTTTATTGATCATAACTCGATCTGTCTAGAGAAGTGGAATTTGAGGCATTTTGGAGTGACTTATAATATTGAATTAACTCTTTAAAAGATATGATACAGGGTAGGGGGATGGGTTAGCCTGGTGATGGGTATTAAAGAGGGCACGTTCTGTGTGGAGCACTGGGTATTATGCACAAACAATGAATCATGGAACACTACATCAAAAACTAGTGATGTAATGTATGGTGATTAACATAACAATAAAAAATTTAAAGTGAAAAAAATAAAAGATATGATACAATTGGATATGAAGAATCAAAGCTCCATTTTTTTCTGTTCCATCTCCTTCAGGAATCTTTGTTTCAAGACATTGACCTGTTACAAAAACATGGAATTGTAAGTATTTTTTCAATTTTCAATGTAAGTAATTTTTCAGTATGAAATTGTTCAGTTCAGGGTTCCTCAGCCTTGACCCTATTGACATTTGGGGCTGGGTAATTCTTAGTTGCGGGGGGCTGTCCTGTGGATTTGTAGGGTGTTTAGCAGCATCCCTGGCTCCTGACCATTTATTATATGCCAGTAGCACCCCTCTTAGTTATGACAACCAAAAATTTCTCCAGACATTGTCAAGTGTCCTAAGGGGGCAAAACTGCCCCTAGTCAAGAACCACTGGTCCAACTGGAGGTATCCAGAGCTACCTACCTCTGTCTTCATCAAGAGAAAATTCAGTTCTGTGGCAGGTGATTAGAGTAAATGATGTTGACTGATATTGGACTTTGAGTAAGTAGATGAATTTCACCAGCAGTTCACTGGTAGTAAAACTTCTCTGACATTATCTCTTGAAGTCCTCACATTTAATCTCTTTCAGCTGGATTTAGAAAATAGGAGCAAGAGAAAATCCTGGTCCTTTGGTGATGTAGTTATTTGCATTCCCCAAGGGTAGAGGGAAAAAAATTTAATTTTAAAAGAACATATTCATAATGAAGCTCTCTAGAAGGAAAGAGATGAACTGAGGGGGTGAACGTGTGATAAATTTGCTAGCTTTTCCACCAACAGACTTTTCTTTTGAATTCCTTGTTACATTGCCATGGTCTCACTAACATTCTTGGGAAATCAGGGCACAGCCAGAACATTTGGCAGCGTGCTGGGTGTGTTCTACTCAGATATTTCCAGAACATTTGGCTACATGGTGGGTGGGTTCCACCTGGCTGCTTGTATAAAATTGGCATCGTGGTGGAAGGAGATGGACACAAAAGCACATGACATAGTATGGGAGCCTTGCAGGCTGGCATTTTATCAAATCTGCTGCACCCATTCTTTTATTTACAGAATGTGGCTGACATTAAGAAACTGAAGTCAGTAGGAATCTGTACCATCAAAGGGATACAAATGACAACAAGAAGAGCACTATGCAATGTCAAAGGGCTCTCAGAAGCAAAAGTGGACAAGATTAAAGAGGCAGCCAACAAACTTATTGTAAGCAAAATCAATTCTTTGTTATTTTAGCTTAGAAGGGCCCTATGAGTCTCTATAGCCTTTCTCATTGAGTGCTAGAAACTTGTCATGAACACCAGAAACTACTGTGGGAACTCTGAATTTCTATAGATCACAATCTGTTATAATCCTCATGTTAACTTTTTATCACTTCAGTTTCAAAGCAACAACAATTAATTTCTCATAGATTGAGACAGGTGTTAAGAGACTTGAATACTATTAAGGTAATTATTTTTACCAAAACTTTTTTTTGGTCTTCTTTTATATTAATTTTTCTCCCTGTCTGTTTCTCTGCTTTGACTCCTCCTTATTTTTGCTTTGTCTCCTCAAATATAATATCTTTGGTTGCTGCGAAGCCCTCAGCACCAAAGAAGTTGCCCTCTCCTGGTATAGGCCAGTTGGTAAGAGACCATTGGGTTAGAAATAAACTAACGGTGTGGGTCTACATGTGTACCGTGGAGATAAATATGACAAAGAATATGCTCACTGAGGCAGATGAGCTACAGCTGAGCTGAACTCGCACCTTGTAGCTGGCCCACAGACTATGAGTGGCCCATACAGCTGAGAGGCTCCAAGCAAAAACATATGCCTTTGACTCAAGCTTTTGTGTTAAACTTTTGGGGGCCAATGGAGGCACTAGCTCTGGCAACAGTAATGTGCAGAATGATAGGCACCAAGTCTCTCTCTTTGCAGAACAAGTCTCTCCATGTCTACATATGTATGTAAGGGTCTCATTCCCAGCAAGTCCTAGAAGCTCTCTTCACTGACAGCCATTTGATTTCCTTCCCCAGAGGCAGTTGAGGTGTGGCAGTGATGACATTGGCAGTATGGTCCTGAACTTGGAGAGGACCTAGCTGAACTGCTCTGAACCCAGCTCAGTTGCTCTAACTTCTGAGTAAACTCAGGCAATATACTCACAGACCAAATCCACAATTGCCCTAGAGCAGTACCCAGAGTTTGCAAAACTGCCAATTTATAGCTCATAGGTGTTGGTCTTATTTTCTTTGCAAACTAAATCCCATTATCAAAGAAAAGAATCCCTCTCCTTCTCAAGCAGCCACTACTATACCCAGAGTCTGCATCCTTTCTTAACTAAAGCTGTTTATTCTTAGAAAGAGATTGAGAGAGAGAGAGAGGGAGGGATGGATGGAGGGGGAGAGAGAAAGAGAAAGAGGTTAACTTCATAGTACAGTGGTTCCAAACATTGGTGTGTATCAGAATGACCTGGACTGGCTAATAAAGAGCACACAGGCCCAGACTCATTGAAATAGGATAGGGCCTGGGTTGTTTCTTTCTTTCTTTTTTTTTAAGAGTTCCGAATTCAAACATTTTATTTATTTATTTATTTATTTATTTTAGAGGATGGGGGAGGGGCAAAGGAAGAGGGAGAGAGTCCCAAGTAGGCTCCAAGCCCAGTGTGGAGCCCCACGTGGGGCTTGATCCCACAACCCTGAGATCATGACCTGAGCCAAAATCAAGAGTCACTCAACCGACTAAGCCACCCATGTGCCCCCCCTGGGCTTTCTTAACCCCCTGTCAAGTTCTCCAAAGTTTGAGAACCACTGTGATAGTTTAAAACAAAAAGGGAAATACATTAGGGGTACCCGGGTGGTTCAGTTGGTTAAACATCTGCCTTTGGCTCAGGTCATGATCCCAGGGTCCTGGAATTGAGTCCCATCTCGGGCTCCCTGCTCAGTAGAGAGCCTGCTTCTCCCTATTCCTCTGTCCCTCCCCACTGTTCGTGCTCATGCGCTCTCTCTTTCTATCTCAAATAAATAAAATCTTTTTTTTTTTTAAAGGGAAATACATTAGACCATGTCATTAGAGCACATCAGGGCTTGTTCTCACTAGTTATACTACTGCATCAGCTATAGCTCATTGATTTGTCAAATAAGTAGTATTTCTACCATTGCAATACATTGTCTCATGAATAGTAAACATTGGAATTTCTGTGCTCCTTGAAACTTCCAGAGCTAGGGGAAAATGATGCTGTTCAATGAAATCAATGGAATCATTTGGTAAAATACCATTTTGCTTTATGCCATAAATATACCTCATTTAAACTTTACAGCTACCCTATGAGAGAGACACTATTCTTATCCTGATTTGACCCAAAAGAGGAAATTGAAGTACATCAAGATTAAGTAGTTTACCCCAAATCATACAACTAATAAGTAGATTACAGACTTATTTTGAACCTAAATAGGGTAGCTCCAGAGCCTGTTTTCTTAACCATGATCTCGTGCTGTCTTCAAAGACAAATGAACTGTAGCTCATATCAAATGATGACCCTAATTATCAAATAGAGAGTTTGGGGCAGCATTTGAAATAAAACCATCATCTTATACCCCTTTGAACCTTTCCTTTTGTCTTTCTGTAGGAACCAGGATTCTTGACTGCCTTTGAGTATAGTGAGAAGAGAAAGATGGTTTTCCATATCACCACTGGGAGCCAGGAATTTGAGTGTGTATCTCATATTTTTTACAACCACTAGACACAATCTTGGGAATATTGTATCTCTTTTCTTGAGTTTGTTAGAGATAGCTTCTTTTTCTGAAGTAGTAGTTTTTTTTTTCTTTCTGAAAGTCTACTGAAGCAAACAAATTCCAGATGATTTGTAGAAGCAGGATTAAATTTGTTACAAAAAATTCAGACCCAAAATATAAGTCGTTTCTGAATCAGCCTGTATTTTAAAAACCATCTTGAAAATCAGTTTAACTTTTCATTTCCTTTTCTTCATGTTGATAAAGGAAATTCCATTTCACTTTTGGCTTTACTTAAAAATCAGTCATTTAAGTTGAATATTTTAGGAGAAATAATCCAGTGGTTTTTTTGCTCTTTAGTATCAGCAGCTTTAACTTCCCTTTTTATTTACTCTCTCATGATTCCTGAGACATAGTTATCATCTTCCTTTTTTTTTTTTTTTTAAAGATTTTATTTATTTATTTGACGCAGAGAGAGATAGCGACAGCAGGAACACAAGCAGGGGGAGTGGGTAAGGGAGAAGCAGGCTCCCTGCAGAGCAGGGAGCCCGATGTGGGGCTCGATCCCAGGACCCTGGGATCATGACCTGAGCTGAAGGCAGTCGCTTAACCGACTGAGCCACCCAGGCGCCCCAGTTATCATCTTCCTAATGCAAGTTGTCTAAATTGTGGTTTTTTTCCCCCCCTACCTTACTAGTCAGAATTACTAGTTGTAGGTTAGATGAGTGGCCAAGAGCAATTTGAACAAAAGCAGTATTTCCACAAAATAGTCCTCAAAACCCTGTCCTCACAAGATATTCCAAGAAAAAAGGCTTTCATAGTCAAATATTGCATCCAATTGGATGTCTGCCAGGCAGTTCAGACTTCATAGGTCCAAATCCAAACTTCTGTTATCTGTCCCAGATCTGCACCTCCCAAAGCCTCCCTCATCTCAGATCTGCCTCTTTTCTGATCCTCAGAACTAAAACCTTGGTGTCATCTTGGCACTTTGTTTTTTTTCCTCTCACACCCTAACTCTTACTCATTAAGGAATCCTGTCTGCTCTACCTTCAACAACAAACCACTCAATTTCTTCAACAAATAAATTACAAGGAATCAAAAAACAGATGAAGTCGGTGTTGACCTAGAGATTAAAAGAGATTTAAAAAAGACATATTACCTAATCCCCAATATGTGGATTTTATTTGGATCCTGGTTCAAGCACAGTATTAAAAATAAGATATATATGAGACAGAAAATTGAACACTTACTATATAGTTGATATTAAGGAATTACTACTTTTTTAGGTAATAATGATAATATGATTATCTTTAAAATAAGAGTATTCATCTTTTAGAGATACCTATTGAAATATTCAGGATGAAGTGATATGTTGTCCAGTATCTGCTTAAAATAATATGAAAAGGGAGGGAAGTAGTTGGAGGTTTATATGAAAAAAATTGACCATGAGTTCATAGTTGATAATTGTTGAAGCTAAGTGAGAGGTACATGATGGCTCATTATTAATACTGTTTTTGTCCACTTTAGTTTATGTTTGAAACTTTCCACTATAATGTTTATATATTTTTCCTATGTGTGTATATATGTGTGTTTAGAAAAAAAAAGAGGAAATAATTCAATTAATTCTCCACCACTTCCTCCACTGTTACCTTACTCGTTTAAAGTACCTGTTAACATCTCCTCTGGAGTATTATAATAACTTTTAGCTTCTCTCTTTTTCAGACCTTGCCCCTACTGTTTATTCTTCACACAGGAGCCAGAATGATCTCTTTAAGACTTAGGTCAGGGGCCCTGGGTGGCTCAGTTTGTTGAGCATCCAACTCTTGTTTTTGGCCCAGGTCATGATCTCTGGGTCATGGGATTGAGCTTGTTCTCAGGCTCCGTGCTCAGTGGGGAGTCTGCTTGGGATTCTCTCCCTCTGCCCCTCCCCCCACTATCTCTTAAAAAAAGAAACAACAACAACAAACTTAGGTCAGATAATGACATTTCTCTGCCCAAAACTATTCTAATGACTCATCATCTCAGAGCAAAAGCCAAAATCCTCTCTAATCTAATCTCATCCTTTATTCTTTTCTCAGTTTGCTATGCACCAACCACACTGACTTCTTTGCTATTCTTAGAACATGCCAGATACACTCCTGCCTCAGGGCCTTTGCACTTACCGTTTCCTCTGCCTGGAACACATTTTCCTCCTATATCTACATGGCTTGCTGTCATCTCTTTCAGATCTTTGCTAAAATGTCCACTTCTCAATGAGGTTTCTCTGGTCACTTTATTTAAATATTTAAACTCCCAATAATAAAAAACAAAACAACAACAAAAAAGTCCCTGCCTTCATCCTCTGTACTCCTTATCTCCTTTCTAGATCTAATTTTTATTCATACCATTTAATAATATCTGACATACCACATATTTTACTTATTTACTTACCTATTACTGTTCATTGTCTATTCTCACACTGAATGTATATTCAGTTGACTTTTCGAAACATAGTCCCAAGCACAATATGAACAACCCAGTTAATAACTAAGACCATTTGTTCAAGCTCCAATTCCGTTCTAAAGAATAATGAGACTTAAGTCTATATAGCACATTTCCTATTGGTACCCCGAAGTAAGATCAAGGACAACAGGGCTTATATGTTGTTTTGTTGATCCATCCTGCTCATATACAGCAGAATCTGTGGTCTTAAGAGATAGAGTGTCATTTGTTCTGCCAAGAATTCCTGTTTGTGGCAGATAGATAGATAGATAGATAGATAGATAGATAGATAGATATGACACAAATGGTACACTTTCTCCTTTCTTGATCTCTCTATTTCTGTTTCTTTTACTAATGCTTACTTTTTATTTCCAGTAAGTTGCTAGGAGGTGGAATTGAAAGCATGGCAATCACAGAAGCTTTTGGAGGTAGGTAGAACCTTAATATTTTGTTATATGAAAAAAATTATATGTACACACATACATATATAATAAAAAAAAACAACCAATAGTACATTGTATATCTACTTTGAAACTTATGTTGAAATCTCAATTATAACATAGGATCAGTCTGGGCTTAAAATACATTCCGACGGGCGCCTGGGTGGCTCAGTCGTTAAGCATCTGCCTTGGGCTCAGGTCATGATCCCAGAATCCTGGGATCGAGCCCTGCATTGGGCTCCCTGCTCCACGGGAAGCCTGCTTCTCCCTCTCCCACTTCCCCTGCTTGTGTTCCCTCTCTCACTGTGTTTCTCTGTCAAATAAATAAATAAATAAAATCTTTAAAAAAAATACATTCCAACATTAACAGAGAGGTCCTGTTGGCATTTGTCATCTTTTTATCTCTGAGTCCCATAGAAGAAGAGAGAATTTTCTTTTTCTCATTCCTTCAGAAGGTAGTTGGATAATGAGACCAATCTGATTTCTAGGATATGCATGTTCCATGAACATAGTAGATTTTTTTCTTCCCTGATTCTATCTTCTATTTTTCTTCTTCTTTTTTTTTTTTAAGATTTTATTTATTTATTTGACAGAGAGAGTGAGAGAGCACAAGTAGGGGGAGTGGCAGAGGGAGAGGGAGAACCAGGCTCCCCGCTGAGCAGGGAACCCGACCCAGTGCAGGGCTCAATCCCACGATCCTGAGATCATGACCTGGGCCAAAGGCAGCCACTCAACCGACTGAGCCACCCAGGCACCCCTCTGTTTTTCTTCATAACAGTTCATTCATACCTATTTTATATGCTGTGCCTTGCAAATCTAGTATCTGCAATCCTTAGGGAACTAGTCTGTTTTGTTGTTGTTGTTGTTGATGTTTCTGTTGACATAGAGAAATAAATCTGGTTTTTATTATTTCTGTTGACTGTCAGACTTAGTGGCTTACTCTCTTGTGTACTTATTGATATTTGTGTGCTTATTGCCTGATTTTGATCTATGGGAGCTCACTGGACCTAAACTGTTGAGTGGGGAAGTTTTTCTCCAGAGAGAATTTGCTTTTGTTGGGAGGTAGGGCATGCCACCAGAGACTACTTCAGCTTTCCTTTGAGGATCTCAGTGCAATGGGACAACCCTAGGCTCTCCTTCCTTGTAGTAGGGTCTTAAACTTTCATTTATATGCCTGAGATGAAAAAGCTCAGTATTTTTTTCCCCATATAAGGAAAACCCAGTTCTTTCCTACTGTATATTTTTTCCCTGTGAGTCTCTTTTACTATTCACACAAACACTTCACTTCTGACACTTCTGGTCACCAAATATATGGACGTTTCCCCCCACAACAACAAGCAATTCTTGGACACCTGCAGGGTATCCAAGAATTCAAGTCAATTCTGACACTCTCTACCCAGAGGTAGCATCAGATTCCACAGGCTAAATAAGGGCTCAGTCCCATAAGAATCCCCGTACCTGTCCCCTGCCTTCAGATGCCAGTTACAAGCCCACGTTATTACCAGTGCTTCTGACCAACTGGCTGTAGGTCCAAAATTCCAATGTCCCCTTCCTTGGGTTTGATTAATTTGTTATGGCAGCTCACAGAACTCAGGAAAACATTTACTCATGTTTACCAGTTTATTAAAGGATATGACAAAGGATACAGATGAACATTTAGAGGGAAAAGATGAGTAGGAAAAGGTATGAGGGAAGAGGTGTGCAGCTTCCATGTCCTCTTTTCTGTTATCTCACAATGACTAATCCTAAGGAAAACTTGGTTTGAATAAATTTTTTCTAAAGGACAGTTCTGTGAACAGATACCTTTAAAAAGTTATTTTTACTACTGTTATTTGTATTGCAGGATCCATCCATGACACAGTGGTACTTTTTGTGTAAGATTTGACAGTTGGAAAGAAAATCATACTCTGAGACTATATTTCATTCTTTATGAAAATATCTAGAAATTAACTATGTGGCTTTGGTTTTTTCTATATTTCGCAGAATTTCGTACTGGAAAAACCCAGCTCTCTCATACCCTCTGTGGTAAGGATACATAACAACCACAGTAACAATAATAATCATAGTAATCACTTACTAATTTACTTTGTACTTGGTACTTTATATAATCTCATGTGATCTGAAATTTGCAAGGAAACTAAACTGCCCATGGTTACACAAATACCAAAGCCAGTCTTTGAATGTGTGATGCTTGAGGTAATGTTATATCTGCTACACTCTGAACACCTGAATGGAAACAAGGAGGAAGTGAATGGGTATATGAGTGTAGCGTTGATGGTGGGGAGAGGCCCTCACTGTCTCCATTTTACCCATTCCATCTTTCCTATATTCTATCGACAAGAATGTCACAAAATTGGGCTCCTGGGTGGCTCAGACGGTTAAGCGTCTGCCTTCAGCTCAGGTCATGATTCCAGGGTCCTGGGATCGAGCCCCGTGTCGGGCTCCCTGCTCAGCAGGAAGCCTGCTTCTCCCTCTCCCTCTGCCTGCTTGCTTCCCCTGCTTGTACACACTCTCTCTCTCTGTCAAAAATAAATAAAATCTTAAAAAAAAAAAGAATGTCACAAAATCAGTTGAGACCTAGAATCTCTAACTTTCCATGAAGTAAAGATGGCCTTCAGAAAGATTTAAAAATAAATTTTTCTAAAACAAAATAAACATAATACCTCCTTCTGTACAAAGGTGTTACTCTGCATTTCTTTGACCTAAGCAGAAGGAGCATGGCCACGCAGTTAAGAAGCAGATTCTGGAATCAGAATACCTAGCTCCAGTTTTGGCTCTACCATTAATAACTGTGTGACCTTGGCCAAGTTGCTTCACCTTTCTAATTTTCCCCATCAGTAAAAGAGGAATAATGATAGTGCCAAATTTAGGGTTGTTTTGAAAAATAAATGAAATAATACATGAACCTAATATAAAGAAATTCTTTAGTGTCATTTACTAATACTTATAACAAAAATGCACTTTAAAATTTGACGTGCATTAATTGAAAGGTTACTTAAATGAGTTATAAAGCATAAATTATATTTGTGATTGTTTCTTATAGGAAGAAAGTAATAAATTGTATTCTTTAGGAAAACTAAAAATTGTGAGATATTGACATTGTTTGTTGAAGTACCATGCTGATGGAATCCTTATGGTTTTACCACTGGTTAGTAATATAAAAATATAACATGCTGTTTAGGAACTAAAGGATCATGATTTTTTGCCAGATTGGCGAAAGAATTGCAACCAACATAAATCCTATGTTAATTTATGTATTTACTTGTGCAAAGTTTATTCATTTCTATTAATATTTCATTTTTTTAATTGCTTCCTAGTGACAGCTCAGCTTCCAGGAGCAGGTGGCTATTCAGGAGGAAAGATTATCTTCATTGATACAGAAAATACTTTGTAACCTTTTTATTTAAATAAGTTGCTAGCATAATAGTGTGTTGTAGTAATGTTACCATAAAGAAAGTTTAAAATATATCATTTGTATAATCATCCCCTAAACCAGCAATAATGAGAAAAGCCACAGGGAAATCAGTTGTTGGTAGAGTTTTCAAATCACTTTTTATTTAAAAAGTTTCACTTCTCTAGATGTGTTCGGTGTAAAATTCACAAAATGAATACATGAGAGGAACTTATATTTTATTTGTTTATTTTTTTAAGATTTTATTTATTTTTCTGACAGAGAGAGAGAAAAAGAGGGAGCACAAGCAGGGGGAAGGGCAGGCAGAGGGAGAGGGAAAAGTGGGCTCCCTTGCTGAGCAGGAGCCTGATGCGGGGATTGATCCCAGGACTCCGGGATCGTGACCTGAGCCAAAGGCAGACGCCCAAACCGACTGAGCCACTCAGGTGCCCCTATTTTATTTGTTTTTAATCCTCTTACTTCTCCAGAGGTACTTAATAGTTAGGAAGAAGATTGTTGACTCACTCAAAGTCATGGTTCAAAATAAAGGGAAAGGAAAGAAGAGAACAAAAGCACGGAAGGGAAAAAGGCAGAACCTTACTGGGTCACAGAAAGAATTGTAGTTTAATTGAAATGTGAGATGTTTCAGAATTAAGGCTGGAAAGGTGATTTGGGTCTTAGCTATGAAGGGCTTCAAAATCAGATGATGGGTATAAATCGATACTTTTGCGATATTCTAGGCAAGTAACGAGAGCTTGAGCTAGGCTGGAAGCGGGAAGAATAAAAAGAAAAGGACAGGGGCGTCTTGCTGGCTCAGTGAGTGGAGCATGTGATTCTTGACCTCAAGGCTGTAGGTTCGAGCCCCATGTTGGGTGTAGAGATTACTTAAAAATAAGAATCTTAAAAAGAAAAAGGGGACAAGAAATATTAGGGAGGAAAATTGATAGGACTTGATGACTATATTTGGTAGACAAAGGAAAGAGAGGTTTCAGAAACTACTGTCAGTTTTTTTGTCTTATAATGGGAGAATAATGATGCTAAAAGACAGAATTGGGAAGATCGTGTTTCAGACAAAAGGTGTGTTTCATTTCAGTGTGTTAAATATGAACAGGAGGACATCCACATGGCAGGTGGAAACGTTGGACTCTGAGAAGGGGTAGGGCCAGAGACATAGACGGAATAAACAGAAGGGCAAGAGAACTTAGAAGAGAGGAGAACTGAGAACATAACTTCCCAGTGTGCCTAAGTTTAGGAAGTGGGACTAAAAAAGAGGATGCCATAGAGACAGGGGAAGCAGGAGGAAATCTGGTTGTAGAAGCTGAGCAAAAGGAAAGTTTCAAGAAGAAAAGTGTAGTAGCACTGTTCCACGAAGAGAGAAAGAAGGCACAAACTGAGAAAGATCACTGAAGTCTGAAATTAGGAATCCAAGAGAGCATTTGCAGTAAAGGAAGATGATGGAAGCTTGTTGCAAATAAACAGTAAAGAATGGAGCCAGTGTGTTATTAACCAACAAATAGAAGAAGAAATACAGTATTTTGAGGTATCAGGTTCAGAGGAAATTGTTGTTTTTTTTTTTAAGATTTTATTTATTTATTTGAGAGAGAGAATGAGAGAGAGAGAGCACACGAGGGGGGAGAGGGTCAGAGGGAGAAGCAGACTCCCTGCTGAGCAGGGAGCCCGATGCAGGACTCGATGCAGGACTCGATCCCAGAACTCCAGGATCATGACCTGAGCCGAAGGCAGTCCCTTAACCAACTGAGCCACCCAGGCGCCCCAGAGGAAATTGTTTTTAACAATAGAAAAGACTTGCACAAGTGTGTAAGGCCAGTCACAATGAAGCCCCAGCCTAGCTCTCCAAGCTCCTTCCTCACTATTACCACTATTAGAGGCAAAGGGATCCAATCTGTTCTAGTCCAGTATTATTGTCTCTAAAACATGAAAACATTGTACATCAGCAATTAGATTTAACTATAAAGATAGTCATTATAATTGGTCATTATGATTTCTTGCATCCCTAATTTTATTTCCTGTATCTTTGTTTTATCGGAGTACCTACTCAAGTCATTCTTTCAGAAAAGTAATCTGGGTGGTAAGCTTTGAGCCCTAGCAAATCTGAAAATGACTGTATTTTGCTCTCGCTCTTAAATGTGAATCTGGCCAGTCAGAGAAATTTGCATGGTATATTTCTATCCTCCTTGGGTATTTGATCAGTCTATCCCTACTGTCTATCCCTATCCTTCTGAATCATACAAATCCTTTAAGGCTCTCCTTTGAAGGCCTGCCTTTTTTAATCTTCTCTAATTACCCAACGTAAAAAACCTTGTCCTTCTTAATCTGTTATAGAATTTACTACCTAAAATACCGTCTTAGAAGAAAAAAAAAAAAAAAACAGAGAGCCATGTGCAGAAGACTTTATTTGGAAATAGCCTAAGAAGACTCTGAAGGAGACTCCAAACTTGGGGAAGGAGGGTGGAATGCCACATAGGGCGGTAGCAAGAGGAGCGCAGCTGGAGTTCAGCTCATTTCAGAAATAGTTGATTAAGAATGGTTCTTGAAGAGGGAGGAATGGTTCTTGCAGATGAGCAGCCACTGTTTGGGCAATTTGGATTTTATCAAGAATGGTAGAGAGGAGCAGTTAGGAGCCAAGTCTTATGCAAGAAGGAGTAGGGAGGATAGCCGGAGGGGGGGGCGGACAAGGACATTCAAGAGCCCCAGTGGAATGTTCTCATTCCTTTAGTTTCTTTCTTTTTTTAAAATATTTTATTTATTTAGAGAAAGAGAGCATGAGCAGGGGGAAGGGCAGAGGGAGAGGGAGAAAAAATCTCAAGCAGACTCCTCACTGAGTGCAGAGCTCATTGTGGGGCTCGATCCCAGGACCCTGAGATCATGACCTGAGCTGAAACCAAAAGTTTGCTGCTTAACTGACTGTGCCACCCAGGCGCCCCTCTAGTTTCTCTTACATGTACACTGCTCTCTCTTGATATTTTCCTTTTTATATGTTTATAGTTTGCCTTCTTAATTATGTTTTCTATTTACCTGTAATGTGGATTGTTTTATGACTCCTTAGGTCTTCCACAAAGCATTGGTAATTGGTTAAAATGGTAATCAATTCCATATAGTAATCGGTTAACAAATATTTATAAATTGATTTGAACTTCCCTTCAGCATAAGCCCAACTTTTACACTTTCAGTCACATAGTAACCATGTTCTGTAAAAAGTGAAATACTGAAAAGCATTTTTACTGTGTCTTCCAAGTCTTTGCCGTCTTTGACCTGTTCACCAAAAACATCTACTGGGTATACTCAGTAGCAATGGAAGATTTTAGTGGTTGTCACTGAAGCTCTGAAGGAAAGAACACGTGTAGTGCATTAGGATATAGACGGCTGGGGAATTGTAAAGACAATCCACTTCTACACATACCGGAGCTAGTTGTAAACATCACAAATAAAATTGTAATTTGTCCTCGTTTTACAGTTACAGTATGATCAGTACTATATAAACACTGTAAACAAAGTGAAATGAGAACACAGACATGGATTTTATTTTAGCTCACTTCACTTCAGAGAATACTGTAGGCATATTTGGGATCACCAAAGACCTAAAAAAAATGTTGATTACGCCTTTATAGTTTAGATAGGATGTAAGTGATTATTAGCATCTTCAAAAATACCTTTGCAGGTACTCTGAATGTGCCTCCCTATGAATTTACTAGTTTCAGAAAGCTAACACAGTCCTTTAGAAGAAGGGAGATTTTAAACCCTAAACAAACCAAAAACAATAGGTCGATAATTTCCTTCTGACCCTTGAAATTCCTTTTTTTTTTTAAGATTTTATTTTTAAGTAATCTCTACACCCAATGTAGGGCTCGAACTCACAACCTCAAGATCAAGAGGCACACACTCGAGGGGCGCCTGGGTGGCTCAGTTGTTAAGCGTCTGCCTTCGGCTCAAGTCATGATCCCAGAGTCCTGGGATCGAGCCCCGCATCGGGCTCCCTGTGCAGTGGGAAGCCTGCTTCTCCCTCTCCCACTCCCCCTGCTTGTGTTCCCTCTCTCTCTCTCTGTCTCTCTCTCTCTGTCAAATAAATAAATAAATAAATCTTAAAAAAATTTTTTTAAAAATTTATTAAAAAAAAAGAGTCACACACTCAAATGACTGAGCCAGGCACCCCATGATCCTTGAAATTACTTATTGCTCCTTTGGTTTATGTAGTCAAATTTATCATTTGTTGGCAACTCATGGTTAACAGTATATTAAATTACTTCATATTAAACAAGCGAAGAGTTTAAAGAGAGTGAATTAATTCACTTTGAAGTGACTTGAATTATAATTCAGTGATATTATCTTCCTAGAATAGATCTATTTTTTACAGAACTGAGATCAAAAGAGAGTCACAAATCTTATTTTTTAGTTTTTCTCTTGTAACTGATTTGCTACATAATTCTGAGTCATTTGCCTAATCTCTGTTTGTCAGTGTCCTCATTTGTAAAATGTAATGTAGGCCACAACAACTAGCTTCCAAAGTTATTGTAAGGATTAGAGTATTTAGTATTTAAATTCATCACTGCCTCGTCATTTCTATCACTGTTATCACTAACTAAGTTATTTATTAATCTGGGTACTTATGAAAAAGAAAAATCTGATACAGATTTTAAGTGATTATTAGCATCCTCCAGAATACCTTTGCAGGTACGATGTTTGCCTCTCTGTTAGTTTACTTACTTAAGGTATTATTTTTTGTAGTTGTTCTAAACTTTTTTTGGAATTGATTTATTGGATCCTTAATCTTGGCATACTCCAGCCGTCCAGATCGCCTTCGGGACATTGCTGACCGCTTCAGTGTAGACCATGATGCAGTACTGGACAATGTCCTTTATGCACGTGCATATACTAGTAAGAGCCCCATGTAATTGGATGCTTGGGCTGTTTTAAGGTTGGCAGCACTGATTTGCTATTTGAATGATACTTACAACATTTTGATGCTGTTCTGTTCTCTTTTCATTTTGCTTTCCTCCAAATTTATTTAGTCAGTCCACAGATTTTATCATCTGGCAAGCCCTGAGATACTAAAATGCCCTCAAATGATTTCTTGTTCTTGTCTTTGAAATGGAGAGTAACATTCTTTTTGGATAATGTAGCATTTGGCATGCATGCTAAGGCAGAATGTGAAATCATATTTAATAAAGCCATGAACAATTAAGAAAATTCTTTTAGGACTCTCTTTTCCTTGACTCCAAGAACATAAATGATCTTAGCCTCTGCTTCTTCTAGCTGTTATAACATTTTTCTCACTGCATTTCCCACCAGGTGAACATCAGATGGAGCTACTTGATTATGTAGCAGCCAAGTTCCATGAAGAGGCTGGCATCTTCAAGCTATTGGTACAAGCTTTTAAATACCACTCCCTCACAGAGCTATTTCGCATATTATTTTTCTTCTATTGATTCCAATCCAAATTAACTTCTTCTTTCCATTTCCGTATTTATTTTTACATTAATCCTGTGCAGATCATTGATTCAATAATGGCACTTTTTCGAGTGGATTTCAGCGGTCGTGGGGAGTTGGCTGAACGGCAGCAAAAATTGGCCCAGATGTTGTCACGACTCCAAAAAATCTCAGAAGGTAGATTTTTAAAATAAGTGGTGCTATCGGAATAGCATCTGTGACTGTTGAGTAGGCTTTGCAGAGAAGCTCAGAATAATGTCAGGAGGCAATACATGTTTAAAAATAAAATTACCTTCATGGGAATGCAATTCTTTTTTTTTTAAACCAAAATACTGATTCTAATACGATAAGTACCTAAATAGTAATAACAATAATAACTTTAAATAAATTAATTTATGTTATCAATGAAAAAATTGGAATGTAATATTGTTTGTAAAATCAATTCATAGCACAGTATTCCTAAACTCTGAAATCAAAGCAATGAACTTTTTATATTGCTATTCCCTTAGTTTCTTAATTTTATTTCTTGATGCAGAATATAACGTGGCTGTGTTTGTGACCAATCAAATGACTGCTGATCCAGGAGCAACTATGACGTAAGCCCCAATATTCTGCTTTTGTATTTCACAAAGGTTAATATCAAAAGGGTTAGAGTGAAGAATAGAAAATAATTCCAAAATGATCAGTCCCAATGTGGGCACAAATATATCACAAATCACTGTATTGCACAGTGAATATTACTTCATAATTGCAAATATCACTTGTTATCCAGAGTCTATTTTTCTCTAGTTCTTTATAGAATAAAGCAATAGTTCAACCATTTTTAGAGATGCTTTGGGCTCCTCTTTTGTCTAGGGCTAAAAAGATACTGGAGGGCAAAAAGAAAAAGATAAAAATTTATATTCCATATACATGAATGGCTTCTATTCAGTATGATAAACTATCAGCCTAAAAACAAAAAAAGGAGGCTCTGTGCAGGATATACAAGAGATACATTTATAAGAGGTCCTATGAGAGAAGTCTCCTGTTAGAAGAAACAATTTCAGTTCTCACTTAGGCATGTTCAGAATCTGTTGAGGTGTTTGTGCACATCACATACTTATTGATGGCTCTGCTTGACAGATGGCAGTGAACAGAAAGGCAAGGAGAGCTAAATAAAGTAGGATGATGAAAACAGAAAATTCAAAGAAAGATTAGTTGCCACCATCAAACATTTTGAGCATTATGTATCTGAATAAGCAATCAAAAGAACCCTGAATTCATGATTTCAATCTTTCCAACAAGTTTTTATTTAGAAAATTGTTTAACCAGAGAAAAGTTGCAAGATTAGTACAACGAATATACATATATCATCCAGCTAAGTTTTTCTATTGTAAACATTTGCCACATTTTTTTCTCCCTCGTGGTTTGTGTGTCCATGTGTGTGCATGTGTGTAAATTCTCTTTCTCCGTACGTACACACACATACTCAAATATATATGTGTGTATTTTTTGTGAACCATTTGAGAGGTTTTCCACCTGAAGCATTGAGGATTATTTATGGACATTATGACACTTCCTCTCTTAATAATTGAGCATATTTGTTGTAAGAACCAGAACATTCTCCTACACAACCACAGTATAACTATCACTGTCAAGAAATTTAACGCTGGCATACTAGTGTTACCTAATATACATTTATATTCCAGCACCTCCAATTATCTCAGAAATGTCTGTTATAGTTGCCAGGGTTTTTTAATTTTGTTTTTGATTCAGGACTAATTGAGTATCAAACACGGAGCTGGTTGTCTTGCCCCTTTAGTCTCCTTTAATCAGAACGGCTCTTCAGCGTTTGTTAGGCTTTTATGACACTGACAGTTTTGAAGAGCACAGGCCAACTGTTTTTCAGAATGTCCCTCAATTTGGAGGGTATTTTTCCTCATTATTTAAAATGTTAAACACTTTTGGCCGGAAAATTACATAAGCAATATTATGGCCTTCTCCACAGATCATATCAGGAGGCATACGATGGCGGTTTGTTCCATTATTAGTGATGTGAAGTTTGATCATGTGATTAAGATGGTGTTCACAAGATTTCCCCATTGTAGAAGACCTTTTCACCTTTATAATAAATAAGTAATTTGTGGGGTATGTAAGAGTAATCTGAGATGCCTGGAAATATTATGTTCTGCAATAAGCTCTCACCAATTGGTTTTAGCATCCATTGAAGGTTCTTGCTTAAATCAATTATTACCCTAATGATTGCAATATAGTTTTATTTAAAACCAAGACAATACATCATTTAGTAGCAGATAAATGGGTCATTGACATATGTGTTTGAAGATATTTGATATGCCAATGTAAATTTTGTAAGTTGTATTGAAACGAACATGTCTCTCTTTAGGCATTTTCTTTGTTGGTTTTTTTTTAGGTTTTATTTTTAAGTAATCTCTACACCCAATGTGGGGCTCGAACCCACAACCCTGAGATCAAGCGTTCCACACTCCACTGACCAAGCTAGCCAGGCACCCCTATTTTTTTATTTTTTAAAAGATTTTATTTTTAAGTAACCTCTTTACCCAGTGTGGGGCTCAAACCCACAACCCTGAGATCAAGAATCATATGCTCCCCTGGCCAAACAAGCCAGGCACCCCACTTCAGGCATTTTCTACACTAACACTAAGAGTATTGCTACATCTTCTGCAATATGTATATCTCACTTTTCAATACCCTTTTATGAGTACTTTCTACTTAATCACAGGAGATTCCAATGTGAAAAATATTAATTACATGAATGGTATTAAGCAAGTTAAAAAGACTGAGGAGGGGGAAAAATCATTTATTCAGCCAATAAATACTTTTTAAAAATCTACGTATCAAGATTCTGGGAATTCACTTGTGCACAAAAGAGACAATGTGCCTTGCCTACCTAAAGAAGAAAATAAATGATGTCCGTTTAACTCAGAATTGTGAAGACTTGGTAGGTCAGACATTGTCTGTAGTCCTTGAGTAGTTAAGGCAATCTTCTCTGTTTTATAGGGTGTCTTTCATACACAGGACATAAAGTACTTCACAAAGAGAATAATTTTAAACTGAAGAGAAATGGAAGATTTTCAGGGCTCACTTTAAAAAGAGAAAATGACTCATTGGCTCAGAGGGAGGAAGTGGGTTGCATTCAAATAAAACAGTACAAGTTAAAGAGCAATGTTCTTTCTTCAGGTGTGGGGAGGGAACACTGCAGAGACCAAAACTGTCTATCTGGGGTTAGAAGGCAAAGGAAATCTGTGGAAATTAGGTCAGATAGGGGTTCTTTTTCTTATATTTGTAGAAAATTTAAAAAAGAGTAAAACCATTTTGAATGGACTCCAATAAAACAATGAAAGGAGACATAGAGAGACGATGGAAAGAAACAATTGTAGGAGCTGGAGAGGGGAGATTTATAGTGAAGTGAGCTGAGAGCCAGACAAGATAGCAAAGGCTAGGACTTTTCTTGGGTGACTCTGCTTTGAAACTTCATCTCCACCAAGCCAAATTGTGAGGAATCAAGGTTCACTATAATTATAATTAGTATATTCTAAAGTATATTAAATTATAACAATATAAATTAAATGTATGTCTTTATACAAAGCACATAGATTACCACAACTAAATGAAAAAGAAATAAAAACAGTACAGTTTTAAACTAAAGAATCTCAAATGCTATTAGAAAACCTCCCATAAAGCAAATCTTTGTTTCTCAGTGTTAAAGAACTCCAAGCTGCAGCTTGCCTGGGACCTGTCAGAGAAATATCACTATAATTGGTATGAGTCCCCAAGTATGCTGACAATAATTGAGGCTTATATCCCATGCATTATACTTGATGGCACATCGTATTAAAAAGGAACAAAATTATAGAGGTGAGGAGCTGCTGTATGATACAGCAGGGCATTAGCTCCTAGACGAGGCTTACAGATACAGATTTTAGAACTAAAATGATCCAGTTGATGAAGGCCTGGAGATAAAAAGTGAAAAGTATCAGCCAGTGAAGCTCCACACCAGGCCAGATAATATGAGTGACAAATAAGACCATGATGTAGCCACCTACTTTGTGTATTTGTTTAGCTAAAACAAAAAGTCATCTTAGAACATTTGCAGTCTTGTAAATGTGCAGTCAGTTTATTCTCTAAGGGTGTCACCCACTGATCCAACATCATTTGTGTAAGTTAAGAAGCAATATAGTTAAAGAAGAAACATTAAGTCAAGTTCACTAGCGTGGTGACCTTGAGTAAGTCATTTAAACTGTTTGAACTTCAGGGGCACCTGGCTGGCTCAGTCAGAAGAGCACGTGACTCTTGATCTTGGGGGTTGTGAGTTCGAGCCCCACTTAAATAAAAGAAAAACTTTAAAAATGAATAAGTAAAAATAAACTATATGAACTCCATTAAGAGACTAAGAGGTCTTATATTTATTGATTGCTTACCATGTGCGAGGTGCTTTTATGTTTTATCTGTATAATTCGCTCATCACCCCAACTCAGCCTCCTTGGGCCTCCCTCTTCTTCCTATGAAGCCAGTCTCAGAATGTTGCTACACTCTATGCCCCTCCCCCAAACCCCAGAATTTTTCTGCATATTTTATGAGAAAATGGCAGGGTGGGAGATTACTTAACAAAACTTCTTAAACATACCCCTTATTATTTTTTTACTTTTTTTTTTTTTAAGTAGGCTCCATGCCCAATGTGGAGCCCAACACAGGGCTTGAACTCTCAGGGCTTGAACTCATGACCCTGAGATCAAGACCTCTGAGCTAAGATCAAGAGTGAGACACTTAACTGACTGAGCCACCCAGGTGTCCCTAAACATAGCCCTTTTCAAAAACCATCTCTTCTTGGGGCGCCTGGCTGGCTCAGTTGATAGAGCATGCAACTCTTGGTCTCAGGGTTGTAAGTTCAAGCCCTACATTGGGTGTAGAGATTACTTAAAAATAAAATATTAAAAAAAAGTCTCTTCTTTCCCCCAAATTTTCTCTTTTTGCAGTACTCTTCTTTCCCTATCTTCCCCTAATCTCAAAGAATCTTCCTCATTCTTGGGCATGTTCACTCAGCCTTTCTCTCCTCAATAGACCCCTTCTCAAAAATTCCATCCAAAAGCTTACCCTGCAGCAGGTCCAAAGTACCAGGAGTTCCAGCTGTCCCTCAGGAACAATACCAATTTGCCCTTGTGCGGGCCCCTGAAGGTCCCTACGCCAACCAGTAGTTAAAGTAGATACTATTATTATTCCTAATTTGAAAAGGATGAAACAGAGGCTCAGAGTATCTACTTGCTCAATCATCCAGTTTAAAAATGGGAGCCTGGGGGTGCCTGGGTGGCTCAGTTGGTTAGGCGTCTGCCTTCCGCTTTGGCATCCGGCTCCTTGCTCTGGGGAGAGGGGGCGGGGGTCCTGCTTCTTCCTCTGCCTGCCACTCCCCTTGCTTATGCTCTCTCTTTCTCTCTCTTTCTGTCAAACAAGTAGATAGATAAAATCTTTGAAAAAAATAAAAATGAAGGGGCTCCCTCTGGCCAAGTCTGGGACATTTAACTAACTAACTAACTAACTAACTAATTAACTAACTAAAAACAGGAGCCAGGATTTGAACCCA